AATATATACAGTATTTATACTTCTCATCCAACCACAATTAAATTCACTCTATCCAGGAGGATAATTTTTTAACAACAAGCTGTAATGAAATAGGAGTAACGACTTTCCACTTCTTACCTTTTTTAAAAATGTAATAAGTAGAAAGTACAGATAACTGTGCAAAAATGTAAGAAGTAGAAGTAAAAAGTAGGCTGAAAAACAATTACTCAAGTAAAGTACAGATGTCCCAAAAATTCTACTTAAGTACAGTAAAGAAGTATTAGTACTTAGTTACTTTACAACTCTGACTAAAACCAGGCAAACACTGGTGTGYGTGCAGACTCACATTCACAAACTACAACTAAATTAGTGTGGAAAGTCAAACTATTGATGGAACAGTGAGTTACCTCCACACTGAGACACATTCTTGGCACCAGCAATGCCCAGTCCTTCAGTGCTGGGACAGGGCTCACAGGACAGCTGGCCCTCCATGTCCTGGTATGTTCCAGGGGAACACTGAACACACTGCTCCTGCTCGCCGCTGTAAAACGTCCCCACACCACAGCTCACTGAGGGAACATACAGAAATACGTTCTTGCAGTGGCTGCATGCAGCAACACCAAGCAGCCTTCAGAAACACAAMACTTACCACATTTTCCATCTTGGAAGGTTTGTCCTGTGCTGCAGGTCTCAGCTCCCTCAGGCACTCGCGATGGTTTCTGAGCTACTTCATACTCGGTTCCAGAAAACTGGATGTAGAACTGCTGTTTGTTGATGGACTTCCTAAGTGTTCTCATAGCATTCTGCAGCTTCTGCTTCATCTTCTCTCGAACACAGTCGATGTTGCAGGAATCTATGAAATTGTAAGATGTTTGTTTTACAAACCTCATCTGAGAGAGCAGGATAGCTAGATGTCAGAATACTATTCTCAACATCAACAAAAATTTGGGAAACTAAGATCCAGTTATGCACAGTATAATTTAAAAATATTAAGAATCTAGGGAGGTCTCTGASCGCAAAGGGCAAGGCTCAAGGTCAAAATTGTTTTTCATCAACAAAAAAAGTTTAGCTGTAATGAGTCACTTCTCCAATTTTTTGTTGACAAAAAAATTTGATCTGTTCTCGGTAGTCCATTTGAGTAGACTCATAATGAAACAATGTAATAATCTCTCCAGGAAATTGTACTTTAGATGCTTTACAAATATAAAAATGATCCACAGAGACAGTTTTGAGTAGAAGCTGTTTTGTATGAAGTTAATGATCATGCATATGGGGCTGTTGGACTCTTAGTGTAGGTCAGATAGGACATCTGTGCCAAATTTAATCAAGATCAGGGGTCGGATTTATAAAGCTTGGGTACGCACAAAACGAGCCCCGAAACTTGCGTACGTCACTTTTCACGCAAAGGTTGTGATTTATAAAATCCAAACTTGACGTGAAAATTCGCGGTC